CAGTGGCAGGGAGGTATCTCCGTGCCATCCAGGTGTCTGGCTGTCCAGGGACACTGATTTGACTTTGGCAGAGAGCTCAGTTTCTCAGCTGGGTGTGCAGGTTGTCGGTGGGTGTCTCTGAGATGAATTCAGGCTCTCTGCTGGCTCTGCTCCCAAAAATGAGGCCATTTGGGGGTTATACATTTTTTTCCTCCTGTTTCTGTCATGTGGCTGTGTTTGAGGGCTCTCACACATGGATGGAGGCAGCAGACTGGGACCAGTCCTGGTAACTTATTCTAGCTGGTGCAGTTTCTTCCTCAAAAAAAAAACAAAAAAAAAAACCCAAAAAAACAAAACAAGCAAAAGACCTGAGAAAATATGGTAGACAGATACTGCTCAAACATGGAAGGACCTGGGTGGTGGTGAGTGCTGGGAGTTGTGAGAATGCTGTGACCTTGCCTCAGTGATTCGCTGGGTTTCTGTTCGCCAGAGTTCAGGCTGCCTCAAAGTGCTTGTGTTACAGACCTACCTGGTGCCTGTCGTGTCAACAGAATTAATTTCCTTTAGCTGGTTTCCCACCTCAGAGAAGAAGTAAAATTATGTGGCAGAGGGCCAATATATATAGGTTGTGTACTGATAACTGAGGTTGATATATGGTGCATTTTAGGTGTTCTCCCCTCTCCTTTTATTCTAAAATTGATTGCTTGCAAAAAAAAAAAAAATAAGCCACGTGCCCAGCTGATGTTGGTTTGCATTTGGGTTTGCACCATGAGGACAAACCTCCCTCATCCCCCATGTAAGGGGGAGGAGGCAGGGATCTCTTATGCTGCTGCTGGTGTACCATCTCCTTGCTCTTCACTTCGCTCCCCAGTCCGTGCCCGTGGCACGTACGCTCCTGTCCCTGACACCACGTGGGGAGAGGTGGGAGCCAGGGTAAATTCTGCCTCCAGTGACCCCCACGCACATTTTGGAGGTGCCCTGGCCACCATGCTGTGTGGTAGGGGTGCCCCTTTCCCTGGCTGCAGCAGCACCTTGGCCTCTCCACACCATTCTCAAAGTGTCCATCTGGTTTTGTTTTCTTTATTTATTTTTGGCCCTGAGGTTTCCTTCCAGAATAGCTCCAGGGCGTGGAAATAGGATGGTGCAGCCCCGACCGCAGCCTTGGCCCTACAGTGGACCCAAGCAGGACAGGAGCATGCTGCTCTGCTCATTTATCACCCTGAAAAAATAATAATTAAATTTGGACATAGACACCATGTCAGCCTGCACCAGACAGGGATGCTCTGACCATGATGTCTCCACGGGCTCAGGCAATTAAATCAAATATATACGCAGTGCCACTGCTGGTGCCAGGGGCTGGTGGAAACCCCAGCAGCGTTGGCTCATGGGGCAGATGACGGGGCTTGGGCACAGCAGCAGCTGCCGGGGGGTTCGTCATCATCTGCTGTGAGGGGGCAGTGATGTGCCCAGGGGGGGCCTGGGGAGTGGGCTGCCTGCCTAACCCCCAGCTCACTCACCAGCATCTATAATGAGCGACACGGCAGTGTGCATGCGCATGCTAAAAAACTATGGGAGCGCAGCGGGGAAACTGCTGCATTGGCACATGTGGGCTGCATGCTGCACACCTGCCTAGTCATACAATCATCGAATCATGGAATCACAGAATCATTCAGGTTGGAAAAGACCCCTGGGATCATCGAGTCCAACCCTCAGCCTGACTCTACAAAGTTCTCCCCTACACTACATCCCCCCACAGCTCATCCAAACGACCCTTAAACACCCCCAGGGATGGGGACTCCACCCCTCCCTGGGCAGCCTATTCCACTCTCTGACCACTCTTTCTGGGAAAAATTTTTTCCTAATGTCCAGTCTGACCCTCCCCTGTTGCAGTTTAAAGCCATTCCCCCTTGTTCTGTCACTAATCCCCTGTGAGAAGAGCCCAGCACCAACCTCTCTGCAATGTCCTTTCAGGGAGCTGCAGAGAGTGATGAGGTCTCCCCTCAGCCTCCTCCTCCTCACACTGAACAGCCCCAGCTCCTTCCCTGGCTCCTCACAGGATTTATTCTCCAGGCCCTTCCCCAGCCTCGTTGCCCTCCTCTGCCCTCGCTCCAGCCCCTTGAGATCTCTCTCGTATTGAGGTGCCCAGAACTGGGCCCATTACTCCAGGTGTGGCCTCACCAGTGCAGAGCACAGGGGGACTGTCACCTCCCTACTTCTGCTGGTCACACTATTGGACGACACTAGTCATCTCAACCTGCCTCTTAAAAATGGGGGTTTTGGGCTGTCACCTGCTGGCATATGCCCTTGATGCAGGTGAGCTGTTCTGTGTTTTGTTTCTAGCTGTTTATCTACAAAGGCAAGATTATTTCCATGAAGCTGTCAGATCCTGTGATTGCTTTTAACAGATACCAAATGCTGCTTTCAGCAAAATAGACTGGCTCTGAGGAAGGATTTCTGTGCAGAAGGGGCTGTTGGGCGTTGGAATGGGCTGCCCAGGGCAGGGGGGGAGTCCCCGGGATCCCTGGAGGGGTTGAAGAGTCGGGGTGACCCAGCGCTGAGGGATCTGGGGGAGTTGGGAACCGTCAGGGTGAGGTTCATGGTTGGGTTGGAGGAGCTTCAAGGGCTTTTCCAACCTGGATGATTCTGTGATTTTAAGAGACTGATGCTCTAAACCTGAGATGTGATGCTTTATAAAGTTGTTGTTGTTGTTGTTGTTGTTGTTATTGTTGTTGTTGTTGTTGTTGTTGTTGTTGTTGTTGTTGTTGTTATTATTATTATTATTATTATTATTATTATTATTATTATTATTATTATTATTTTAAATGGAAACATTTTAGATGTGTTTGGCTAACTTCCCTGCTGGTGTCCCTGCGTGGTGCTGTGAGGTTGCTGTTGCCAGTGGCTTGCCCAGGCAGCACCCACTCTCTGGCCCAGGAGCTAAACATAGGTGCTGGCCACGCAAGGCACTTTGGCACACATTAATTATCCTGGTGCTTTTTAGGGATCTTGGGTGAAAGATGCATTTTTATAGTCAGTTTTCTTTTTTTAAGCAGCCTGGAGCAGCAGCCCTTCAATTACATTAAAAATCGCCTCCCACCAGCACTCTCTGTTCCCCAGCCCTGATGAAATTTAGACTCAAAGCTGGGCACATGCTCACTGCTCTCAGGCACAGGGCAGCCCATGATGGTGTGGGGCAGTGGGAAAAGGGGCTGTCTTGGTTCTGTGCCCCCCATATCCCCCCTCAGCAGGGCAGCCCCCCCAGCCCCACACTGCCTGGTGTCTCTTTACCGGAGGCTGCTGTGTTGGCATCAGAAAACTGCATGGCTTCTTTTTTTTTTTTTTCCTTAATTTTTTTTCTTTTCTTTTTATTTTGTGTGTGGGTTTTCTTGGCCTGAGGCGCCAGCTGAAAGCCATGGCCAGCTCCAGGCCTCCCTTGTAATTAGGGCTCCTCGCAGTGACACAACGGGACTTTGAAGCTGCAGCCCTGGGGTTTGCACAGCCCGCCTTGCTGCTAGGGATGCCAGACCCCTGGGGGGCTTCAAGGCACCTCTCCTTCCCCAAAAACATGAGATCTGCATGGCATTTTGTCAGCAACTCCATACCACATACCTCTTTGATGTGATGGTGAGCAAGAAGGCAAAAGAACAACAAAAGCTTTGTCTTTCTGGTCCTAACCTGGGAATTTGGTTCACTGGAAATCATTTGTTTCCCAATCAAGTTCAGACCCAAACTGGTCTCCCCTGGATGTGCGTGAGGCAAGCGCAGCCTCCAGTTTTGAGCAGAAACATGGGCGTTCAGGTCTTCCACCACAAAGCAGATTTTTCTGCCCTAAATAACAGTTTTATCCCTGGCCAACCTTCGCATCATCGACCTGCTGGAAGGCATGGATTTTCCAGCCCCACTGTTCCCTCTCTGAGGGTTGTAGGGCTGAAGGCATCAGGCAGGATTTACAATTCTCCTTGCCACTGTGGAAAGCAAAGCCACATTCTGCCAAGAGTCATTCCCCTGAGCAGCTGCAACCCGGTGTCATGTCCCGGCATGTGCAGGAGCAACTGGGGGGGGGCAAAAATGTCTAGAAAAGAGGGAGTAGAAGTGCACTGGAAGCTGGGCAGCTGAAATCCCAGCAGGAAATGATCAATATAGGGAAAGGAGAAAAGATGTGTCTGCAGAGGTGGGTGCAGGGGAGCAGCCACAGCGCTCACCTGCCTCCATCCCCTGCCCTCAGGTGCAGGATGGGTGGGCTCCCACCACTGGCCATATCCTGCCACCAAGGTCCCCACCAAGGTTTGGATGGTCATGAAGGTGGCTGCTTTTCTTTTTTTTTCCCCCCCAGGCAGTTACTCTGCTTCGCTGGGGACATGTACAGAGCTGCCAGATTTCATCTGGGGAATACCTGTTTTTTGGGGAGCAAGGGACCAGGCTGGCCCCTGCATGTGTCCATGTGGTTCAGGGGGCACGAGATGTGACGCAGACACATCTTTTGTAGCATCACTGTGGCAGAGACAGCTCTCACAGGGGAACTGGTGACACCTGTATATGAGTCCCTTTTTCTTTCCCTGCCCTTCCCAAGGCTTGTTTCACCTCTGCAGGCAGCCTGGAGAGGGAATTGGTTGGATTTAGCAGGTTTTTTTGTCTAATGGCTCTGCCCAAGTGACAGTGAAGCCAGGCCTTTGAGGTTGGTCTTTTTTGTCTTCTTAAGAAAACAGTGACAGAGTTTCCCAAAAAGGGAGGTAGACACCCCCCGAGAACAGATTTCCCAATATTTATTTTAATTTAAACCCAGAGTGTTATTATACCCTCCAGCCTCCCAACCGTTCCTCTGAGGCCAGACCCTCAATTAAGCGGCGTGGTGCAAACCTCCCCGGGTTTGGCAGCTGCACGGGGTGCTATGTTTGTGCACCAAATCTGCCGGCGTTGAAGTTTGGGGGTTTTCTGGTGCACGCTGGAGGGCTGGCGTCACTCTGGGTAGGGCGGTGACTGACTTGGGGAGGGGAGGGGGGGGGCAAAAATAGACCTTATAATCCTGGTGGGGCAGCAGCAGGAGGAAATCTGTGCCGGCTGACTCCGCGGGTAGCCATCGGTGCTGTGGCGGGGTAAGCTTGCTGCTGCTTTTCCCAGCTGGGTTGTGTGTTGTCGTCTGCTTTTTGCAGGGGGATGGCAGGGCTCAACTTGCTGTTGGGGCTGGGTGCTGCTTTTGGCTCTTTCCTTCAGGTGGAGGGGATGAGCATCCAGACCCTCGCTGCGTGGCCAGGAAAGCTAGCTTGTGGCCAGTTGTTTTCTAGCCTGAGTTAAAAAAAGATGGGGAAACTTCAAGTGCAGATAAATACAGTAACAACTCACTCCAAACCTCAGCACAGCTGATGGTGGGTTTAGCTGGAGGAAGGGTAGGGAAAAGGAAGATTAGTGGGCCTGACCAGGCCCGGGGGGATGTCGGGAGTGTCCCTCACTGGGGGGAGGCTGGGGCACCGCAGGAAGAGTTAGGTGTGCTCCTTGCTGGGTCTGGGATGGAGGAGGGCAGGCTGAGATTTAGTGCTTGGAGGGTGCAGCTGTGACCTGCCCAGAGCCAAGCCTCCCCTCTGGATATGCCTACGGGGGACTCCTTCTATTGGTGCCTTACCACTACTGTTTTTTGTCAGTGGCAGCCTGTAGAACCTGATCATACTCATTTATTTGCTTATTTATTTTTCCTCAATGAAGTTAAACTCCCTATGGTGTAATTCCTGGGGGCGTTGCTCTCTGGGCAAAGCCCGAGCAGGTTGCAGGTCTGTGGGAGGGTGGCTGCAGTGGCCAACTCTCCCACCAGCAGCTACTCTTGCATCTCTGGGAGGGATCAGTTTTCCCCACTCACTCACAGTTGATGGGGAAGCAGGAGCGAGAAGTCACACTCAGGGAAAGCAATGCTTCAGCTGCCAGTTGAAACCCACTTTTCTGGTATTTTGTGGCTTCTTGCAAAAGCAAAATATATTCATAGAAAATGAGGCAGATCTGTCAACAAAAAAAAAAAAAAAAAAAACCTGCGTCTCCGGAGGGGTTGGTTGACCTCATCAAGAGGAGGCTGGAGGTCAGCCTTTCTTCTCCCCACCTGCCCAGGTGGACACAAACACCTGTCTGGTTTGGGGTAGTGACAGTGCTTTCTAGCTGAAAAGCAAGCCCTTGCCATGTTTCGCTGTTCCTAGAGAAAGCAGCCATGAGGACTGCCCTGGTCTTTGCGTGCCTGGTGGGGATGGCGTGCGCCTTCTCGGTGAGTGCCGGGTGGGGGGGGGAACCTTGCCGGGGCTGATGTGGGGTGTGTGCCAACCCAGCCTTTCTCCCAGGTCAAGAGCTGGCTGCGGCGAGCCAAGTCAGACGATTCAGAAGAGAACGCGGTAGGGTGTCCCCCCACCCTGTGTGCCCAGTCCCACGCGGCGCTGGTCTTGAGGATGAGGACGTTTCAGTCACTCCTGTACCCAAGCCCCCAGACTGATGCGATTAACCCCTTTTTTCTCCCGGTAGGTGTTCAAGAACAGGCACCGGTATTACCTGTACAGATACGCCTACGTGCATCCCCCACAGCGACGGTACCAGGTGGGTTCTTCAGAGGACTTGCTGATGCTTCACCGCTCACCAAATGCAGAGACATTGGCCCAAATGAGATGGGGGCACAGTCTGTGCCCCATCTGCTACTGGCCTACAGGGCTGGGCTGAGACCGTTGTGTTTGTGACACTAATGGGGACCTGCCAGCCCAGCTACGGCTCAGTTTTCCTTCTCTTTAGGGCAGTGACTCTTCAGAGGAAGAGGGGGATGGCTCAGAGGAGGAGGAGGAAGCGGGGGTGAGTACAGCAAACCAGCAGCCTGCAAAACAAACACAGGAATTTGGGAACTTTCTTCGGTTTTGTAGTCTCTGCTCATCATCATGTGTGGCCGCTGACTGCCCGCAGCCCTGCACTCTGGATGCAACTGGATTTCTACTCTGGGCTTTATTTTATTATTTTTTCCTTTTTCGTCTTTTTTAAAAGAGGATGGGCGGGCAATGAACCAAACAACCCTGAGACAAACTTTCCGGGTTTCCATTTTCAGTGGCTCAGAAAGGAGCAGGATGGGCCAAAGGGCAGAAGCAGGAAGGGTCACCCACAAGGCAAAACACACTGTTAGGGATTTATTCCTCTTACCTTCCCCTTTCAGGTGCATTGCCCCCATAGTGCTGATAAAATTGCTATGGAAAATACAGTTACTCTCTGCACGGGTGCGTGTGGAAGGACACAAACTGGTGCTATATTGGGAAATGCACGTTTGTACCAGCCCAGCCCGTAACGCTGCTCCTGTCTGCTGCGTCAATATGAGTTTGGGCACTGCTGCATTTATGAGAGACACCCAGGTCCAAAATTAAATGCCAGGGATTACAAAGGTTGCTTGTGCCTCACCGGATGCAAATACTCAAAAATAATCCAGTGGTCTCAGGCACACCAGTGCTTTGAGACAGGGATCTGGCATGCTTGAAAACCTATTTGGCGGGTCTAATCACATTTTTTTAAATTTGTATTTTAATTTAATGATTTGAATGCTAATTTCAGGGATCTTTTCAACAGGAGCATAAGTCTGGGCATCTGGTCTTAAAACCCTCTTTGGAAGCCCACCTGGGGCTAGGGCACAGCACAGGGTGGCCCCTGCCCCCAGGCACCTCTGCCAGCCATGGCACATCCCTGCAATTAGCCCCTTCCTGCCTGTTGTTCTCCCCCACCACTGTAATCACTAGGGATAACTTTGACAGCAAGGGGGAATTTCTTTCCCAAGGAAGAAATTAAGTGATATGAAGGAATGCAGCTGCTGTTCAGGGCTGCCCCTTTCGTTGCAAGGGCACCAGAGCAGTGGTCATTCCTGGGCAGGGATGCTGTGTGACTTCACTGGCAAGGGGTGGCCAACAAGATAAAATGAAAAGCCCCAAGGTCGTGGTGAAAGGCCTCAAGGTCAGTGATAGCTATGTAAAGAGAACCTGGCACCTCCAGTGGAGAGGAAAACAGCTTGGGTTTTCTCTGGCATCAGATGCGCCCTTATTTTAAGTGTCTGAGTTGGCCCAAAATACCAGGGTGAGCTTCCTTGGTCTTGGGATGTGGGCAGCGAGGATTGCCTGGGTCAGGGAAGGCAGCGACCCCACATCTCCCTGCTGTGGCTGGGTTCATCCTCCTCCCAGCCTGGAGACAGCTCCTCAGCGGTTCCTCCAGGCTCTGCTTTGCATTTGAGTTTTTCATTGCCTTTTTTAGTGGCTAGACCTGCTCCGCTGCGTGGTCGAGCTGATGGCTTACTGCTGGTGGGGTTCAGGCTGACACTTGGCTTTGAGCTCTTGCCAGCCATCTCCACCTGGGGTGTAGTGTGTCTGCACCTCGTGTGCCTGTGGCTTTCTTTGTTTACTGGAAACTGGAATGGAACAACTTCAAAAGCAAACCTTCAGATGCTTCACAAGGCGAAATGGGTAGCTAGAATGGGAACACCCGACTCCAGCCGCCACCGCTTAACTGCATGGCTTGGGCTACCTTGCTGCAGCTTCTCGATTTCAGCCTGGGGCAAGACCCCTGGGAAAGCAGGAAACTCAGAGCAGTGCCCAAATGATGCGTGGGGATCCTGCAAGCCCCCCTGGCTGCTGGGAGGGCTGTGCTGTGCTCCCACTGCTGATGATCCACCCTGTCCTCCCCCTGTCCCTGCAGGAGCCATCCCATGCTGGCACCGAGGCAGCTGGCCACCTCGCTGGAACAGCCCTTGGCGACTGCCAGGGCAGGCTGGGAGGAGATGTTGCATCACCTCAGCAGGTGTGGTTTGGGGGGGACTGGCAGGGAGCACCCCTGGAGGGGGGGGATGTTCCCTGCACGCTCGCTTGCACCCATAGGATGCCCTGCACTCTGCTTGGAGCTCTGCTGTGCAAGATGTCCATGGCTGGGTCAAGCTCTGGGCATTAACCTGGTGGGAGGGTCAGAAGGGGCACCACAAAAAGGCATTCTTGCCATGCAAGGTGCAGGGAGGGCTTCTCAGCTGGGCCCATGCCTGCCCCATGCCATGCGGCACCAAAAACCTGCAACCTCCTGCCACCCAACTCATGCCATGCTATTCTCCCTTCGCCAGGGCAAGGGCTGCCAAGGGCCCCTGAAGGGGGTCAGGAACGGTGCTGCTGGCAAAGAGGGTGACTCTGAAAATGAAGACAGCGATGAGAATGAGGAGGAGGAGGAGGAGGAGGAAGAAGAGATAGCTGAGAATGAGAATGGTGTCAATGGCACAAGCACCAACACCACCGAAGGGGGAGAGGGACCTCATGGCAATGGCACCACAGTGGCAGAGGAGGAGGAAGAGGAGGAGGAAGAAGAAGAGGAGGAGGGAGAAGAAGAAGAGGAGGAGGAAACTGAAGCCACCACTGTCGCCAGCACCACAGGTGAAGAGGGACTGTCCCAGGCGACCACCACGGGCGATGGGGGACCCACGGATGCCACCACAGCTGGGGAGCAGTGGGAGTACGAGGTGACGGCTGGGGGCCGTGGCCGGGGGGATGAGGGCACCACGGAGGGCAGCTACGGGGAGCAGGATGAGTACGCCCGCGGGGACAGCTACCGGGCCTATGAGGATGAGTATGGCTACTACAAGGGGCATGGCTATGACGTGTATGGCCAGGATTACTACTACAGCCAGTGAGCCGGTGGGGGGGGATGGCCCCGGTGCTGCTCCCTGCTTGCCTCATCCCACTCAGGAATGTGCATATGAAAGGCTCGCTGCAGCCACTGCTGCACACCAGAGAGGATGCCAGGTGGCTCGTGGTGCACTCCAGCTCCATCCCAGGCTTTTTTTTTTTTTTTTTTTTTTTTTTTTTTTTTAAATGAAATAAAGCAACCGAACTGAGCTTGTCTGTGACGAAGGGTTTGCTGCCAAATTTCCTGGGGTCGATGAGGTGGCGCAGCACTTGGCGGGCTGAGGGCCTACAGGTGCTCATGCTGCTCAGAGTTAAATCTCTTTATTCCAGCTCAGATGCACACAAAAGGAGGAAGGAACACCATGGGTAACTAGGAAAGCCTCTGTAGAGTCCTCTCCAAAAAATGGAAGGGCACTTTTAGGGTCACTTCTGTGGAATTGCTGCCACATCTTATGTAGAGCTGACATGAATTTTTAATATGTGAGTGATGATAACTTTATTGCATCTTCCACTCCTCGGTAGCATGCCTCCCACGGCCTGACCACACACCAGACAGTATTAATAAAGACATTAATATCTCTTTCTGTGCATTACCAGCTGTAGATGCAAATCCCTGCAAGGAGAGCTTTGCTTCTGCATCCCTGCACCAGGCATGTGGGTCCCCTCAAGGCCAGGCACCTCAGACCTGTGTTTCGGACACCAGCGCTGCAGCCCAGAATGGTCCATGGTCTCTCCCCACTACACAGCCTTGTCCCCAGGGCAAGGTAAGGCTGTCACAGTGACAGCATCAGGGATGGGGATGCCCAGCTTGCAGTCCCCAGGGTCCCTGCCCCGAGTCACCTCCCTAAAGGAGTGTGGCCCCAGCCAACCGGGGAGCAGCCCCAGGGGTGAGGGACCAAATCCCACTGGGTTCCAGGCAGGTGCGCCTATTTAGGAAAAGTGATGGCCCTCACATATGGGTTACAGCAGGTACCACGCTGTCCTCACGCTCCCGGAAAGGAAACCTGTGTTCAGCTCCCGATATAGGTCCAACTGCAAAATGAGTTTCTATTCCAGCAACAGCAAGCTGCTGGCTGCTGTACAAAACCGCCTCCGTGTGCCAAAGCCAGGCTGCAGCTGCCAGGGTGGCAGAAGGTGCTGCCTGCAGGGTGGGCACCTCTGGGACCCAAAGCCCTACAGCAGCGCCGGGGAGCCCTGCACGTGCTCGTGGATGTTGCAGCGGGGGGAACTTGAGAGCCCCATCATCCCCATCCCCAGGGGGTGCCCAAAGACGTCAGGGAACTGGCACAGACAAAGGCCCCTGGCACTGCCGGACCCTGAGTCTTGCTCCCACGGAGTGCACAGCCCTGCCCCATGTGCGTCAGCCCCCCTGGGCGCTTGGCCAAAGCTCTGTCTCCCTGATCCAAGGCGTTCTGGTACCTGTGGGACAGCATCCAACCGCAGGTCCCCTGGCCTGCGGGGAAAGGGCAGGTTTCCTCCTGGCTCTGAGACTGGCTCCCACCCGGGGCTGGCTGCTGATAGTTTAATCATTTCTGGTGCTAACGCAGCAGTCATGCCTGCTCCCAGGGGCAGGGTGGCAGGTGGGATGGGAGCTGCTGTCACCATCACCACAGTGAGTGGCTGCACCGGGCTGGCCACAGCAGTGGGAACCCCCCACATGGCATCTGTGTGGGCGACCAGCAATCCCACCAAAGCTAGAGGGGGGGCAGGAGGAGAGTACGTATGTTGTGTGCATCCTTGTAGCGCCTTCCCACAGCAAAGGTGGGCTCAAATGGACCTGTGCAAGCAGGGCAGGAAAAAATCCTTTTTTGTTTTTCTCTTTTTTAGCACTCTTCTATTTCACACTTGCACCAGGCTTAACTCAGGGAGGTTGAGGTTGAAACCCAAAAAGCAAGTGTCAGAGGCTGCGGCGTGGCAGCAGGTCTCAGCTTGTGCAGCACTGCTCCATGGTGCTGGTTGTGACCACAAATGGGGAAGGTTCAGGGTTATCACCTTTCCCTTTCTGCAGCCCTGCCAGCTTTCCCATGTCCATCACGGTGAGCACGCTACAACCCGCTGCACCCCCTCTTATCAATAACTGGGCTGGATGTGTGCCACGCTAAGATCTGCGCTAATCATCGAGCAATTTCGCCTTCAGAACAGATATTTATAAACTGTGCTTTCTGTTTATCCAGCCAGGTGGAACATTTGATAGCTGTCTTCCACCACAAACACATTTTTAGCTGGAAATTACTCCCCCTAGTTATCTGCGGGCACTGCCAGCCCTGACAAATGTCCCTGGGCAAGAGCTGATTGGCTCCACGTGCCCAGGGCCAACTTTAAATTTCAGCAAAGTGGGCACAGCCTCCAAGGTCTGCTGCTGAGACCTGCCTCCGACGGCAAAAGGTAATCTTCTTACCTAGTCTGCCTGCCCTGTCTCTCTCCTCAGCCCTTTGGCTCTGTCACCCCTGATCAGGGCATCTCCTGCTTTCACTCTGGGCAAGCCGCGGTGGGGATGGGGAGGTGGCCCAAGCTGTGACTCTGCGCATCTCTGCATCACGGTCTCTTGAGCCTGTGTTGCTTTGTACTCCTGATCCCTGTGTGTGAATTTAATTCCAGTGTTTTCTGTAGCAATGGCTGAAAGTAGCCCCCAGGCTGCACCTGGGAGCCCAAGCCAGGGTGGCCAGGTGAAATGAGAATTATTAGCCAACAGAGATATTGTCTCCTGTTGAAAACAGCTTGCAGGTTTCTTAATTCAGATTTATGAATGTATGGCTTAGCCTGCAGTGGTTTTCATGGTCATTTATTGCACCAAAGCTGCTTTGACAAAGTGATTAAGAAGCTTTAACACCTGGTATCAGCGTGCCCACTGGGTGCTGCTGGCCGCACACGTCCTCGCCTCACTGCTGTATGCACAAGGCATTGCCTGTGCGTCAAGGAGCACAGAGAGGCAGAGCGATGCTGAGGGCCACCACAAAAGTTGGCAAAAGCCAGCGTCGCTGGATAACCCCACCGCCATGGAGCCTTTGGGACAGCAGGAGCTTTTGAGACTGTTAGGGACTGCAAATGACTCTTTGCTTTGTGCCCCCCAGGAGCTGCCAAGATGCAAACAGCCCTCGTGTGCCTGTGTCTGTGCCTGCTCAGCACAGCCCTCTTGACACCCGTGAGTATGGCTCTCCCCAGCTTCCCAGCACACTGCCAGAAGCGTGGGGTGTGCCACCCAGTGCAGCCTGGCATGATTTCAGCAGCAGGAAAAGAGGGGTTGTACTTGCTTATAGCACCTCTGGGGCTTGGGGTGGTTTTGTGGTGCTGGTGCAGAGGTGAATCCAGCAGAAAAAAATATGTATTAGCAGTGAAGGCACCTGAGCTTGTCCCTTTAATTTTAGGGCATTGTGAAAGGGCTGGTCTGGGTCCCTGAAGGGAGGCACGGGGAGGATGCTCGCCTTCCCCACGTGGGTAACGGGGCCGGAGGGACGCCTGCAATCATCTCCCAGCTCTCCTCATGGGAAATTCCGACAGATGGAACGGAAACAAAAGGGCAAACTAAGATAAATATAATAGCAGCTGGTTTTGTCCTGAATAACTGTTACCCAGCATACAAAATACACAGCTAGAGTGAAAGTCTGCGCCTAGCAAAGGCTGGCTTTTCTGACAGGGTATGAAGGAGGGAAACCACATCTTCACTGAGGGCTGGGCCCCGGGCCGTGCTGTGTCCTTTATCTCCTGGGACAAGCTTGCACAACTGGGTCTGTCACAAGGCAGCATCAGGCAGGCAATAAAACAGAGCAGATTTGCTTTTCAGATGGGGGCACAGAAGAGAGCTGGTTAACACTCTGCTGCGTAACCGGGGCTGTAATCTAGCATTTGACGCTGAATAAGCCAGGAATATATAATACTCTGGGGTGTATTTCTGTCCCTTTCAGCTGGGTTTGATGTGCTTCAGTGGCTGATTTTGCTCACACTGGAGGGTCCTCCCCTCCACAGGGCCATCTCCTGCTCTGGCATATAGAGGATGCCCCGAAATGGCTTGGTGGGGTTCAGAGGATGCTCCCACCTCCGGGTCCCCCATCCCTGAGAGATGCACTGGCCACTACATCACAAAAGATGCCAGAAACAATCAGGGGAAGCCAGGAGCTTGCAAGCACATACAGAAACTTGGCTGTGAGGGTGCAGGCATTGCTGCTCAGTCGCCCAGTGAACACTGAGAATCACCACTGAGTTAACCAGCTCCAGGCTCCCAGTGCAGTCAGATCTCAGCTGTAAAATAGGAGCACTGTGGTGTGAGCAGTGGTGCCGTGTATTAAAACTGCTCTGCAATAAAAATATTCCACAGCAGAATCCAGTAAAAAGGGTATTTGCAGAGCAACAATATCCTATTAAAAGTAGCGTGTGGTGCAAGCATGATGTAGCAGAATTTGCAAAACTTTTCAGACCCTGGAAATGAGGTTTTAACCTTTCCTATTACTGCTTGCTTTAAGCTGGCTCTCCAGGCAGTGCCTGGGAATTTACTGGCTTACCAACACAGTTTTCCCACCCTTCCCTGGACACAGTGACATTCCCCATCATGCCACGGTGTAACTCTTCCCCTTGATTTCTGTGGATTTGGGATCTGCCCAGAGCTTTTGGCCTGGGAACAGCCCGAGGGGAGCCACAGGAAGGGAGGCAGGGAGAGGATGCTCGCCTTACCCACGTGGGTAACGGGGCCGGAGGGATGCCTGCAATCATCTCCCAGCTCTCCTCATGGGAAATTCCGACAGATGGAACGGAAAAAAAAAGGCTGACTAAGATAAATATAATTTTTGTCCTGCATAGCTATTGTCCAGCATACTAAATCACGCTGGGCAGGGCAGGCAGCTGGCAGTGGGCACTGGCAGCTGCCTGGACATCGGGCAGCATTTGACATGTCGGCTCTCACTTGTGTTTTACTGCCCACAGGTGCCACCACCGCTGCCTGGGAGAGCTGCTGGGAACTGTGTGGGACAGCACCGGGTATGTCCCACCCTGCCCCATTTGGACTCTGTGGGGTGCCCTGCACTGGGGGCACAGGGAGAAAGAGTTGCTTTTGGAGGAGACCCCCAGTGAGCTGTGGAAAAAGAAACTGGCAGTCCCTTTGCATCCGAGCAACCCTTACAAAGAGTAAGGGAGGGGAAAGGTGTGAGGTGCTCAGGGGAGGGAAGGGCTTCCACCCACAGGCTGCTCCTCTGCCTGTGCCCAGCCCCAGACCACAAATGCTTGGTGTACCCACAGGTGAGTTTGTAAATGTTCCAGGCCCAGCTACTACGGGGTCTTTTCAAAGTGTATTGGTGTAAAATACATCAGCAGCAAATTTCAGATGAGTAGTGTGGAAGTAAATGCCTGGTTCTGCCTATTGGAAGCCAGCTGCTGTCCTGCCAGTGCTTTGAACACCCTCAGTCCCATCGCCCATGTCTGATGGGACCATCAATGAAGTTGTTTATTCAAGCCATAAGCTATCTTGCAAAACAAAACCCCACAGATCCTGAAAGCATGCAAGGGCAGAAAGTGAGCCCAAGGGAAAACCAAACCCCAGAGCTCAGGAGGTGAGCACATGCATCCTGCCCAGGTCCCTGCCCGTGCTGGTGGCCAGGAGGTGGTGGGAAGTACCACCCTCCCTGAGGCCCCAGGGGATGCTGGTGGGACCCTCCTGCGGTGTCAGACATAGCAAGGGAAGCTCCTGTTATTGCATTTAATAAGAAAATTGTGGGGTTTGGTTATTTTCTTCCCCAACAGATACTGCTGAAAGGCTGCAATACCAAGCATGGCTTCTACATTTTCAAATATGTCTACAAGTTTTCAACGCGGAGGAACCAGACTCAGATAAAGGTAAGGAGGGAGCCAGGCGGGACCTTGGCTACAACACCCCGCGCTGCTGGCAGGCACTGGGGCTGGCCTTGACCTCTGCCTTGTGTGTACCACACAGAAGGAAGAGGCTGACAGCCAGACCACTGTCTCCGGCCACCGGCTGGGTGAGGACAATGTCCGGCAGGGGCCAACGGAGGACGGTGACAATGGCAGCACCGATGCAATGGAGAACAGGACCATCCTCAAGCCTGAAAATCACAGCACCCCAGGCGTCGCTGGGGGTGCTCACAGTCCTCGCCCGGGCACCGGCACGCGAGCGCGCAGTGGTGTTGGCGTCGTGGTTCCCACCCCGGCCAGCACAGAGGGCAGTGGTGACCTGGATTTGGTGGTTGAAGTCGATGGTGGCATTTCCATTCTTCCCCAGGGTGGACGCCCTGGCGAGGCCATGGCAGGGAATAGGTCTGGTGTCAGGAGTGATGACAGGGATGATGGTGCCCCCAGGGGGGTTCCAATGGAGGGGGCCATGACAACTGGGAGGGAGAGGGACACCACCACCACAGGGGCTGGGGATGAGGCCAGCGGCGAGGCCACCATCCCTGCCCAAGGGCAGGAGGGTGTTATGTGGGGCACAGGGATGGGAGGTGCCACTCTCGCCTCTGTCAGTGAGAAGATGGAGGATGTCCAAGTTGACGCCAAAGGTGTGGATGAATATGCTTACATCCCCGACTCGGGCAGTGTCACTGTCACCGGTGGGAATGTGGGCAGCACCAGCTTCACCCAAATCTCTCCAGACAAGGATGATGAAGTCAACATCTTCATTGGGAGGGCCAACATTCATGTGGGGGAGCAAGAAACCACGCAGGCCGGTGCCACCATTGGCAGTGAGGATGACAGCACCCTCACGGCGGGAACCAGCAGCCCCCTGCCCAGGTTGGGTGTCACTGCAGCACACAATAGCGATGACAATGATGGCATCCTTGCTGGCAGGCAGCCTGAAGGACTGGCCACCACAGCCTCCCTGAGCCATGGGGACAGCGTCACCAGCAGCCCTAGGGTTGGTCGTCCCACAGGAGATGATGAGGATGGTGCAACCACCATTGGTGATGGAGAAGGACTGGTGGCCCCTAGCCCCTGGAGGGTCTCTGGTGGTGACATTACTGTCCCCACAGGGGCTGGCATCCGTGGGAGTGGCGATGATGAGGCAAGAGGTGAGGGGAAGAGGTTCGAGGGGAGGCCCAGCGGCCTGGTTGTCACCACCCCCAGCCAGGAGGCTGAGGAGGAGGTTGCAGCTGCTCTCCCAGCTGGGGGGGCCAGCATCCACCTGGGCACCACTGTGGCCTCCCCCAGGGTGAGTGAGGGGGACTGCACCACAGCCCTGGGGACAGCCAGTGGCCACAAGGCAGGCAAGAGTGTTGTGGCAGGGAGAGGGGGGAGTGGGGAAATGGGGCCAGCCACCCCCCAGCCCCACAGGGAGGGACAGCCCAGGGTGGGGGAGAGGGTCCAGCTGGGCGGAGCAGGGCTGGACAAGACATTCAGAACAGACAAAGTGCCGTCCCCACATGGGAAAGCCAGCAGCCAGGCATCGAGCAGGGCTCCGACAAGGGCTGGTGGCCACGGTGGCGATGCTGGGGGCAGGTTGCATGCCACCGAAGCAGGGGGCAGCCCCTCTCCGCAGGCAGGGCAAGCTGGAGGTGGCGTGGCCATGGATAAAGGCCGGGAGCGAGGGCAAGGTGGCAAGGCCAGGGTAGCAGTGGTGGGGACTAGGGGTGGCCGCCTCTCTGGGCACCGTGGCAGGAGGCCAGGGACTGGGGCGCCAGGGGCATTTGCAGCTCTGGGCCACAGCAGGCAGATGGACCAGGTGAAGCGTGCGGATGAGCTCCACGTCCGTGAGCGGTCCTTTTACGCCCTTAGCGGGGCAGGAGGTGGCCCACACGGCCCCTACACTGGCCTCGGAAGCGCAGACAGCAGCAGCCAGTCCTCCGAGGGGGAGCAGGGCAGCCGCAGTGACAGTCGACAGATGGGACAGCAGCCTTCAGAGTGGGGAGCCCCAGGGCACCCCCACAGCCGCTGGGCCCTCTGAGAGGCTGCCTGGTATCCACCCCGGTGGGCTCCAGTGGTGGAGTTGGGGGGGGTCCCACATGTCATCCCTCCCCCAGCATCCCCGCTGTGGGGGCTGCTCTTGCCTGGGTGAGGGGCACCCTGCACATTCCTGGGGGTCACGCAGTGCTTCGCAGTCCAGTAGGCAAAAATCACTGGTTCGTGCAACCCTGCTGTTAATTTGAGGGGGGCTGCATCTGGCACTGTGATGGCAACGCATGGATTTGCTGTGCTAGACAGCTATGTAACAGCAGTCGTGCTACACAGCATAGGGTAGCATTGTTCATGCACTGATGCGAAGCGAGTCAATAAACGGTGAGAAAAAGCCTCTGTCCTTGTGGTTTCACTTCCAGCCTAATAGAGAAATAAAGGCATTTCTGCACCTAAGGCCCTGCTAACTTTGGTGTTTGCAGCAGGACTTCAGGCAGCTGCTTTGCCATGAGCAGTGTGCTGCAGGGGGTCTGGTCCCCAGGCACAGGGGATTTTCTGGTCCCAGTGCAATCCTGGCACAGCCATCACCTCTGGCTGGCTGCAATTTGGCCAACTGGCCCTGCACATCCCTCCCTTGGTGTATCAAACCCCACCGGCTCCTGCTCAGGGCCACCCACCTCCCCAGGAAGTTTGTCCTTGCTTGGAAGCTCCACAAAGCATCACTCGCCTCGGCTTGTCCACCTCCCACAGCAAGAAATCCCCAGTACGTTGCCGGGGCACTTGTTGGGCGCACTGGACTTCCAGCAGCACCATACCGCCCCAGCCGTGCTGCTGCCATTCCCACCGCTGGCCTCTGCACGTGAGCTTTGACACGCCGGAGTCGTGCCACCAGCTGTGCCTGGAGTTAATCACTGTGTATGCAATTGCAGGTTGCTTTTTCTGCCCGAGAAGCTGCTAAAATGGGCCTGCCGAAGCAAACAGCACAGCGGGAGCGGCGTTGAGCCTCGTGGAGAGGGGTGCCACCCTCAGCATGTGCAGGAGGGAGACGGGGTGGGAGCATCTATGATGTCAGTGATGTATCTGCAGCACGTCTGCTCCCCTGCCCTCCACACGGCCGCCCGCAGGGAAGGCACAGGTCCCATTGCGGGCCACTGAAGTCAGGGTAAAGTCAATTCTTAGGGATGGTGCATGGGCAATTGATTCTGGGACCACCAGGACAAAGAAAACACTGTGTATCTCATTGGTGCGATCAGTAGCACGAGCTGTCAGGGCTCTGCCTCGCTAGAGCTTGTGCTCTCCAGCTGAAAGGATCAAAAATCGCCCATGCCCACTACACCCCACGCCAGAGCATCAGGCTGTTGGTGCCAGCATTGTGGGACACAGAAGTTTAAGCAGCCTCAGGCAGGGATTTGCCTGCACCTTCCCAGGCGTTGACAGCTGTCCTATCCCGCTCAGACGAGGGACACAAGTGACTCAGATTCATAAATCCCTAATGGAGTAGGCAATGGTGAGACAAGTCTCAAAGTCCAGACATTTATTAACTTCCCACAATGTACTGATTGGACACACAATAATTGGCTAAGTATATAACAAGTTGTGGCAAGCAGTACAGTATGCCTTGCATTGCTTAATGGTGGTAAAGGGGAAAAAGGAAAGGAGGGAGATGGAGGGAATAGAGGAAAAGAGATCACCGGTCTGGGTTCCTGTGTTAATCCCGCCAGTGAGGCTTCCAGGAGGCAGCCGTCGTCTTCCCTTCGCTGCACTCTCCAAACCACCCCTTGTCCTTGCCCCCTTTGATTTATACCCACTTTACTTGGGTCCGTCTCTTGGGTCGACCCACATACCTACGTATCCCATGGATGGGGAGGGGTAAGGTGTTTCATGGGATGATGCAATTAGCATGATCTTGCTAGTCTTCGTTAGCATATTGAGGGGTGATAACTTTAACATGCATTTCATGGATAACGAAGCAAAGGTGATTCACTGGACAGATGCCCCTTGGAACTTGCCCAGGTGCCCCAGAGCAGAACCGTCCTGTCTCCACAGGGCTGCCCCCCCCAGCTGCATCCTGTGTTATTGGGGCAGCCTCATCAGCTTCAACCTCCACACTATCCACCCTGGGACTATAAAATCACAGAATCATTCAGGTTGGAAAAGACCCTTGGGATCATCAAGTCCAACCCTCAGCCTGACTACAAAGTTCTCCCCTACACCACATTCCCCCACAGCTCATCCAAACGACCCCTAAACACACCCAGGGATGGGGACTCCACCCCTCCCTGGGCAGCCTATTCCACTCTCTGACTACTCCTGTGAAAATTTTTTTCCTAATGTCCAGTCTGACCCTCCCCTGTTGCAGTTTAAAGCCATTCCCCCTTGTTCTGTCAGTAATCCCCTGTAAGAAGAGCCCAGCACCTTTCAGGGTGTCCTTTCAGGGAGCTGCAGAGAGTGATGAGGTCTCCCCTCAGCCTCCTCCTCCTCACACTGAACAGCCCCAGCTCCTTCCCTGGCTCCTCACAGGATTTATTCTCCAGGCCCTTCCCCAGCCTCGTTGCCCTCCTCTGCCCTCGCTCCAGCCACTCGAGATCTCTCTCATATTGAGGTGCCCAGAACTGGACACAACACTCCAGGTGTGGCCTCACCAGTGCAGAGCACAGGGGGACTGTCACCTCCCTACTTCTGCTGGTCACACTATTCCTAATACAAGCCAGGATGCCGTTGGCTTTCTTGGCCACCCAGGCACACTGCTGGCTCATGTTCAGCTGCTTGTAAATTAGAACCCCCAGATCCTTTTCTTCCAGACATCTCCAGCCACACCTGCCCAAGCCTGTAGCCATGCAGGGGGTTGTTGTGGCCCAAGTGCAGGACCTGGCACTTGGCCTTGTTGAAGCTCATCCCATTAACGTTGGCCACTGATCCAATCTATCCAGGTGTCTCTGAAGTGCCTCCCTATCTTCATGCAGATCGACATTCCTGCTTAACTTGGTGTCATCTGAGAATCTGCTGTGATGATACACTTATGTCCTTATCAAGATCATCAATAAAAATAAAGATGTTGAACAGAAATGGTCCCAGCATGGAGCCCTGAGGTCACCACTTGTCACCGGCCACCAGCTGGATTTAGCTCCACTGACCACCCCTCTCTGGGATTGTCCATCCAGCCAGTGTTTGACCCAGCAGACCGTTCGCTCACCCAGGCCATGGACAGCCAGTTTTTCTGTGAGAATTCTATGGGAAACTGTGTCGAATGCTTTTCAAAAATCCAGGTAGACAATATCCACAGCCTTTCCCTTGTCCAATAATCGGGTCATTTTGCCATAGAAGGAGATAGTTTTGTTACTTGTGAGTGTTTGAGTCATTCCTTAGCTCAGAGGGCCTCCACTCCTCCTGCTAACTTTTATCTCTTTCTCAGGTTGTTTTTCTCAGTCTGTGTTTCTTGCAGGCCTGTTTTTCATCTCTCACAACAGCATCCACAAAAACCCCAAAGGCTCAGGGACCTCCTGTGCTGGCCCACCCAGTTCACAGCAGAAGGGGCCATGGGGCTGCTGGCAGCCTGGGCTGGGTGACCTGTCCCAGAATTGCTACACCCCAAGTCTGATGGAGATGGGCAATGCTCCATGGAGCTCAGGATTGGCATACACTATTACCTGGGAAATAAAGGATGTAATTTTGGGGTCTCGCCACTGCAGGGCTGTGAATGGTGGGTTTGCAGCCCCATGAGGACCCCAGAGTGGTGCCCAGATGCCTCCAGCCCCAGTCCTGGCTGCATCCTTGTCCACACCATGAAGCAACATCCTTAAGCAAGGCCTGGGCACCACCTAGTGGAATAAGAAGCTTTTTGCTGAGAATGTTTTGTGCCTGTTGAATGGTGCCCAGCTCTACCTGGTGCCGGGAAGAGCATTGCTGACCTCTTGCCCCTCTGCTGCCCTGAGCTCCTGGGGACCCCTGCCTAAGCAGCAAGGTCAGGTATAGAACTGGCTAGTTCAGGTATAAATGGCATACCTTTATAAAACAGTACTACCTCCTTGCACAGCTGCTGTTAAAGCACCTGGAATTTTCATGTGGTGACTCTGGCTCTACATCCTGGGGTACACAGCATCTTGGGATACTCACCCTGAGCCTTCTCCTCAACCCCACTGAGGTGCCTGGTTATGCTCTTCCAAAATTCACTTGGCAAACAGCACAAGTAGCCACTAAACAGACAAACTGCCAGTTTCCCCATGAAAGGGTTTTCCTAGAGTATCGGGGCAAAGCAGGGAGCTTATTTTTCCTTGCAGTGAAGGCTGGGCTGATGTGCACTGGCAGGGTAGGAGCTGGCAGGGTGGCTTGCTGCCACCTCTCACACCTCAACACCCACAGCAAGCTTTACATCTGGGCTAGAGGTGGCTGCCAGGTCTGGGAAGTGTTCCTCTGTCACTCTTTGTTCTTTGGAACTGCTGAGCTGTGTATTTTGGGGAAAACTCATTTAGACCTTTAATATATATGCATTTACTTCCTGTTCCCATGTGTTGTTCTTTTACTGAAGGGCAGCAGTGATTTATTAGCAAGCATTTCTTAATGTGGGGACAGTAGAGGCTGTTGCTGAAGTCCTTTAGGGTCACTCATCCCACCCTGTAAGGGAGTGAACCCAAGTGAAGCATGATATGTACACTAGAGTACCTTCCGGCCATACAGAAGCAGAAAGAAACTGTCCCTAGAAATCCCAGCTTCCCTTATAAATACTAATTATGAGGATGTGGCTGGGCAAGTATGGATGGTTGTTTATTCAGGTAAATGTCATGCTTAGAGGAGCAACATCTGCTATTGTGGGCTATCACCAATTTCTGGAGCCTAAAAGTGAGGTGCAGAGGGTTTTCTGTGGCAGTGGAAACCCCTCGGATTCTGCAAAAGTGGATTTCTGTTAATGTTGCTTTTGCACATGGGCCAGTGTGTGCAGCAGTACTGAAAAAAGCTGGTGTTGGGTGAAAAGGGGGTCAGGTCCCCCCTGAGTCAAGTGAGACAGGTGAGGGTTAGCTGTGAACCCTAACTGGGGACTGCCACAGCAGACCAGCTGGGCAAGGCTCCTTTCCCCAAAGCACACCCAGCTGCAAAGGTTTTTTCACGCTGTGAGCTGCTCCTTGTCCTAGACACTGGTACCGGCCCCTTTGCCCAGGGAGCTGCGGGTGCTAAGACCCCCAAGGTGAGCATCCCCTGCTCCTGGATGAGGGGCTGCTAGCACTGTAGCAACACCAGCAGCGAGGTGTGAGCAGGGCCGAGTCTTCCTGGGTTTGCTGAGCAGAGAGGAACAAAGGCCCAGCCTGCCCTGCCTTGCCTTTCTTGAGCTCTCCTGCCTAGGACTGGCTTTTACCTGGGCAGGTCAGGGACTGGGAACCTGGCTGACTTTGCTCTATGGAGAGGACGGGGAACAACAAAAAAAACACTAAACCTTTGCTATGTGTCTTAAAACTGG